TCTGACAAGGCAAACTTGGTTTGAAGAAAGAGCTGGGTACTGAAAGGATGGGAAGCTGGAACAGCTGGCCCTAATTAGTAGGAGCAAATAAGGAGGCAGAGTATTAAGTTAGTCACCTACATCATTAACAAAACAGTCACTACGTGACTACTCACTCAATTGTTTTAGCCAATCAGAAGTTGCAGGATTGGTTTTCCTAGTGTCAAAAGTATCTAAATGTGCATCAGAAATATTCCCACATTCTTTAGTGTTTTCTACCAGGCTTCAAAGAGAGTAAAATCCTGGAAACTGGCTAAGGTATTTTGGCATGGCATTAGGGAATCCAGCTTGTTTTGTAAGACTGAGAATGCCCTTCTTGTGTTTGATACCTAGGCCAAGCTGGTCCTCCGCAGTTTTTGGTCTCCTCCCTTTGTGTGTGTTTAACATGAGAAGGTTACCTAATTGAGAAGATTGCTGGCATTCCTTCAAGTTCTGCAACCATATTAAATTTGCAGAGGTATCCCCAAATTTTATTGTTTCTGTTGTAAACAGATTATACTGGATTAGTGGTTAGCATTTTGTATGCTTTATTCTGTTTGCCCATTTTGTCCTGAAAATCTTGAGTTGTGTTGCAGTTTGCAAATAGCACAGCCACACTTTACGTACTTTTTTACTGGTAGCCAGAAACTTTCATTTGCTATTTGCCTTAGCAGGGGGAAAGGGACTGTGCAAGTCAACTACAAATGCTCCTTCAAACCTTGTAATGACTTTTCATGAGGTATGATTTTTCTGATGTAAGTACATTTCTTGTTTTCTCTAAAGCATGCTGTAATAAGAGACAGGTAGGTTTATGTGTGTGTGTAGTCATTGCTCTTTTTTCAGCAGGCTAGCACTCATACAGAACTGTACGCAGTTTCCCACAGTTCTCTTGGTTTGAACTAAACATTAAATAAATGTTAGTCGAGTATTGTGCAAATCTGTAAACACTATTTCCTTTCATTATTATGTGCAAGATGGACAAGTACAGAATATTTCTATTTTAAGGTAGACCTAAGGAATGTTTACTTGCCTGTCACAGAAGGTCAAATTTAGCTGAGCCCTGAGGTGATGTGGGCAAATTAAAAAAAAAACAAAACACTTCTTTCTTGGGGATTAGCAGAAGCTGTTCCATGAGTTTAGTGTCTGCTTTCTGGAGAGCAGAAGTCAGCAATACCTTGATAGAAGACTCATTACCCTGCCTTTTTCTGCTTCCAAAAACCTTATTTCAAATTTATGGAGCTGGGGTTCCATCTTGCTGCCAATTTGCTGCTTTAATTTTTTTTTTAGTTTTCTTCCCATGAATGTGAGGGGCAGAATTTCCACCTGGTCACAGCAGTAAGACTTGTTTTATGTATAAAACAGCAAGATTTTCTTGACTGTGCTAAATAACCATAACAACACCTTCATGCAGCCTCCCACCTTGACCGTTGTGTCCTTCTCTGCCTCCTGCATTTATTTTCAAGGAATAGAAATTTTAAAATCTGCAGAAATGGCAAAAAAGACAGGAGCAGAAGATCCACATCAAAAGTTTCAAGTGAGATACTTGAACTGTAGTCATCTTTGTATGCAAACTTTACCTGGTTATGTGAAGACTGGCTAAAAGCGTAACGATAAAAAAAAGGCTTAAGAATTAGTCCTGTATGTGGCTGTGCCAGCGCATAAATTAAATCCCATTTCCATGCTTCATACAACTGTGTTTAAGTTTCAGCAGCTTCCCTTGCTCCCTGTTGTTCATGGCCCCCACATGGTTCAAGTCTTTTTTGTCTTGTTCAAAGAAATACATAGTGCTCACTATGTTTGCTCTTTCCAGTGAGAGAAGTTTGACTGAACAGTTTAAATGATATAAGTAAATCCCAGATATCTTTCCAGAACATTGCTGCTATTTTTCTTTAGGGCTTTTAGAGAGCATATTTTTTTGTCAGCAGTGCTGGGAGGGTGTGTTAGTATGTCTGAATACTGTCACTACCAACTGATGCAGACCTAATGGATTTTCTGGGAAGACTTGAATGGGAAAAAACTTCATATTATGAGATGTCTGAAAACATGTTAGGTGGCTTCTTGGTCTGTATTGTCATCTTAATTTCCATAGTTACTTGAAACTGAGCTAAAGGCATTTGAAAAAGACTTGCCTGCAATCAGTTCAACAATAAAACTGGTTAGGGAGGTTGTGTGTTCTTGCCTGTCTGTGTGGTCTTCTGGTTTTCCCAGAGGCTCTCTAGATTAGGTGCTTGCCACTATTCTGGAATAGCCTGCCAGGCTTTGCTGTTCCTGGCAGAGACATTTTTAAAGAGGCTGTGTTTCCAAATTTAGAACTCTTGCTAAATAAGTCCCTTACAGGTCCTTCTTTGAAAATGGATAGAACTTGTGGTTGCTATTATTATTACTGTTATTTCTGAGCAGCACCGTTTGTAAAGTTAGACCAATAACATAAGGAAAAATTAAAGCATTCTAAAATAAAAATTTCTAGGACACGTAGAACAAGTCATAAAATATGAGATCGCTAGAGACTTAGGAGCAATTGGGTATGTGTTCCCTTCTGATTTTCCTGTTAAATATGTCTATGGAAGCACTTTGTTCATACAAGTATCAAAATGTGTATAAACCCAGCATTTACTTTGTGGGTTGGTGCTGTTAATTTCCCCGAGTCCACATTTTCAAGTCTTCAAAATGTAAGATGATTTTTACTTTCAGTGTGCAGTACGACTATTTATTCTTGACAGTGTTTTTACTCAGAAATTTCAACTCCTAATTCTGAATTAACCTAAGTAATTTCTTTTGTGTATGCATTCAATTCACATGTAAATAATCAGTATTTTAAATAGTTTTAACAGGTGGCTGTGCTTGAAAGCTTTTGGGCCTTTTTTTTCCTTTTTTTTTCTTTTTTTTTCTTTTTTTTTTTTTAAAAGCTCATGCCCGTGCAAATAAGGTTGTCATGTGCAAATAATGTATAGTTATGTAATGTGGCTGCATTGCTGAAGGATTTAATTGCATGGTAAATTTCCCAGGGTAACCTGATGGCTTGCTTCACTGTAACAGCAGGCTTTATCTAAGACCTGTGTACTGTTTTCATGCTTAAAGAACTGTAATTCAGGACAGGTGGGAACGTAAAACTGTTTTGATACAATCTTTTGTGCTTGGACAATTGTAATCCTCGGTAGGGTTGTGTGGTGAGAAGTTTTATCTGGAAAGCTGGTTTTGAAAGCTGTGTTGGTAATGAAACTGCAAGTTCCATCAAATTGCATCACTGAAGTTTTTAGTTTTGAGTTTGTAATATGAGTGTTTTGTTTGTTAGTAAAGGGCATGCTCTTAAACAATATTACAAGTGACTGGAAAGAATAACTTAATTAAATGTAAATGGTTTAGGTAAGAATGCACATATGGAAAACAACCTTTTAAAAAAATAATTTCTCCAGTTTATTCAACCTACTGGAAGCAAAAACTCACTTGTTTTTCCTCCCCTCCCCACGTAATTTTCTGGTCTGCATTCCACTGCCATCTTCCCCTTACTTTCTCCCCACCCCTCTGCCCCTCCTCAAAACCCCCTGCCCCTCCTCAAAAATCTGTTTCCTTTCACCTAATTAGTCATCTTTCTGTACCCACTACACATCTTAGAAAATTGTCTTGTAGTATAGATTGATCATATATAACTGGCCAGAGCGATCAGAAATCAGTTGACATACTGGTTAATAATACTGAACCAAGTCTTCTCAACAAGACGGTGACTTCTTAAAAGTCAGGAAATTGGTTTGAATGCCAAGCATCCTAGTATCTATTTTATTGTTCTAAAGGAACCTACATGGTATTGCTTAATGAATGAAAAAACAATAAGCACCCATCCAACAAGTTGACCTGTGTGTCTTCAAATGCATAACGTGGTGCTGCAGTACAAATACCAGTGTGGCTAAATGTGCTAGTTTTAACTTTCACTTCAAACTAAAAGAAATACTCAGTCATGTGTAATTGCCTTGAGTGCAATGTGCTTATAAGGAGCTTTAATGACTACTGTATTGAACAGAGAAATACATAACACATTACTTAAAAGGCAGTATGCTTTTATTTTCCTTTTATGTTTTGAAGAGTGAATTGCAAAAACGAATACATTAACTACAAAAAAAAGGGTGGCTCAGATCTGCTGTTTCCATTTAATACAATAATGCAAAACTATAAGCAGGTTTTTTAATTTGCTTTCAGAAGGGTCAGCAAAGTATTTTTTCCCATCACTCTTATCCTACTGAATGACTTCACCTCTCTGTGCACATTTAAGGGAATAATCTCCTCGCCTGAGTCACTGCAAACATCTGTTCTCAGTCACAGAATCACACAATCATAGAATAGTTAAGATTGGAAAGGACCTTAAGATCATCTAGTTCCAACCCCCATACCATGGGCAGGGACACCTCCCATTAAACCATGTCACTCGAGGCTCTGTCCAACCCGGCCTTGAACACCACCAGGGATGGGGAGCAATCACAAGTTCCTTGGGCAACCCATCCCAGTGCCTCACCACCCTCACAGTAAAGAACTTCTTCCTTATATCCAGTCTAAACTTCCCCTGATCTAAATTAAAACTGATCTCTGAAATTGAAGAGTGTTTCCTAGCCTTTTGTCTGCACTTGAGAGCAGTTTTGCTTGTTACATTTCATTGGTTATGTTTGAATTTTACATACTTACTTTGTTTATACATCTCCTTTGTCCTTTCTCAGGACCACTTCTCTTTGCAAGAAATGTCTCCAGTACCTATTCAACGAAAAGCAGTATCACAATACCATTATTTTTAGTAAATCATTATTATTAAAAGTTGAGAAATCCCAAGAAAAACATTGTGTGAAAACAGTTAAAATGTGATACTGATGTATTGATGAGGAAAAAACCCAAACCAGGAATGAGTTCCTGTAGATTTTAATATAGTAAATTACCTTTTCTTTTTTCCTTTTTTTTTTTTTTTTTTACAGTAAGTTGACATTTCTTCTTCAACTTTTCAGGCACAGGTACCTTTGGGCGTGTTCATCTGGTGAAGGAAAAAATGGCCAAACGTTACTTTGCACTAAAAGTAATGAGCATTCCTGATGTCATTCGACTGAAGCAAGAGCAACATGTGCACAATGAAAAGTCAGTCTTGAAAGAAGTCAACCACCCCTTTTTGATCAGATTGTGAGTTGTTCTATTTTTTTTAATTCATTTAACTTATGTAGAAAGTGCAGATAAAGTGTTCCAGAACTTCATTGCAAGTTCTTAGGTACTTAAACACCACCAAGCATTTAATTTCTATTATGTAATCTAGACTAAAGTAGACTTCAGACTGAATTATTTATTACAGAAGAATCAAGAATTTAAAATCAAGAAGCATAATTTAAACATTTAAGCAATGATTTATTATAAGCTTTACTCTGTCTCTTGTTTTCGTGCTGCAGAAGATATTTTCTTAAGTAAGAGGAAAATACTAATGAAGAAATGTTAGTATTTTCTCATCAAAATTTCTAGAATCATTCTTGATGTTAGAATGGTGAGAAAAGAAGTATTTCTACATATATATGTCCTAGATAAAGTTATAATTACATTTAAGTATCTGTTTTTTGAAACCTTGTACAAATTTTTATTTTGAAAACTTTTATTTTTAGAGTTTAAGTACTGCATCATTTCTTGGGCTTTGTGGTTCCTATATTTGAGGTTAAGTGATGGAACCTGTTGAGAAATAGGATTTCAACACATTTCATGAATAATACTTTTTTTTTTAGTGGAATTACGGTGATTCATATGATCTCAGTGATTTCTTTTTTAAGGAAAAAAGGCATCAGATTTTACTGTTCACAGCACCACAACAAAAATATGAGTCCATATCTATTAATGGGATAGCTAAACCTCTGGGTAATTGCACAGTTAACTTGCATTTATATTTTCTCGTGCATGGATACAGAGCCATTGACTAAAATTTGTTTTGCATTTACCTGCTTTAATCACCTTTACATAAAATTAGACAAAATTAGCTTTAGTTAATCTCTGGCTGCAGGGAGTGCAACCTCTTCCCAGGGCTAAGAAACTATGAGAAGAAAAAGGAAAAGGCAAAAGCATGGTAGTCATCTGAAAGATGGGAAGAGACCTGCAGAAGGAGGCTTTTACATTGGTGTGCTGTTGCTTTTTCCAGTATCACATTAGTTTCCCGCCAGTGTTCAGAAATCCTGTGTGGCATAGTGTCTCTAAGATGAGTTGTAGGGTATGTGCAGTTTCATATGCATACAGGAAGGCAAGATAAAGGGTCTGAGTACATCTGTTTAGACTTGATGGAACAGGGGGAACAAGGTTTTATATGTACATCCACATATATTACGTATGATATGTATATCATACATAAATTCTTTAAAAGAAGCAAAAAAAAAACAAACCAAAACGAAAAACTACCTAAATCAACAAACAAGAAAAACCCTCAACCCAGTACATCTGTGCATCTGGAACAGTGCAGTAAGTGTGGGAATAGAGAAACAGGTGAGAAGAGAGACAGGGATGTTGGGGGTTCACGTTTATACAGAAGTGACCAAAATTCCAAACTGATACGTTTTCTTGGATTCCATTGTCAGATTTCAGTGTCAGATTTTAAAAATAACCAAAGGACACAATCTGACTAGAAGCTCACTTCTGAGCAAGGCAAACATTCTTCATGTCTTCTAGCTCTTTGCATTTTCTGTTCATGTGTTCAATGAGATGCTGCATCATCTATGCTCATGTAGTTGTCTATATGATGCCTTTGTTCCTTGGCAAAGGAGACTCAAAGCAACCTAGCTGTAATGAGTTAGTTAAAATATAAATCATGTTAATATTTGCATGCTTTAGGTTAAACAAGGATTGATGGCCAATTATCACTGACTGTATGACGAATAAAACTTCATCTGGCTTTTTGTGTTGCTAACGGGTTTTTTTTCAGGCACGTCTTCCCGTCCCTAAGAGATGTTTTGCTTATAATTGATTAACAAAAGGGGGAAAAATATCCTATATAGTTCTGCTTCGATGCCTTTTAACTCTGTTATCTCCATGGTCTGTTTTTTATATTTTCAATTAGCATCACCATCTTAAACATGGATAGTATCTTCCTTTTGTTGCAAAACAATGAGTATGTGTCTGTGCATAGTAATACTGGGGTTTTTTAGCACTTTATGGTAGAGAATTTTAAAGTAAGACTGCATGTAATTTATTTCTGGTGTTCATCTTCCCTGTAGCTTCCTACATATAAAGACTTTTAGACAAGATTTTCTTTTTTTCCTTTACCTGTTACTTTCGAGAAATGGCTTTGCTGCATATGAGGTCCTGGTTTTTGTGAGATACTGAAGTTATTTGTCTACATTTTTTTTTTTAACTATTTTTTGGAAATGCTTTCTTGGTGCTTTGGCGACAGCTGGTCACTGAAGACTCTTCAGTGCAATTTTGCTGACATGTTTGAGTGATGTGTCATACCTCTATGGGTGCAGCAGTTCATACTGTGCTGTAATTTTAGCATGTCTCTTTGATTTTTTTTTTTTGATTTTTTTTTTTTTTTTTTTTTTTACCCAAGAGGATAGGAATTAATAAAATCAGCTATGTGTTACAGTTCTGTAAGGTAAAATAGGTTATCTGTCTGTAAGGTAAAATAGCTGAATCATAATGTTGCATTATAATGTTGCTCATCACAGCTTCTGTAATATTTTCGGGTTTTGTAGTCAAATACCACTTAAAGCAATCCGTATTGCAAATACTGAATTTTTATTATGCTGTTCTTTGTTACTGCTGTTTTTTAATGTATGCCAAATAATGCATTAAATTTTCTGTGGATAGAGAAACCTTTAAGAGTCAGTTCTTGAAGAAATTAATTGCAGTAAAACTGCTGTCTTTAATGGTCTAGGTTTTCCACTTTCATCCTCTGTATTCTTTGCCAGATTTTGCCCTTTCTCTCCCCTGTGCATGTTTCAGGGTTTTTTGGTTTGTTTTGTTTTAATATGTTGTTTGCTTTGTTTTGCCCATTCTGATTCCTCTGTTTATTGTAGGTGCAATTTTGCCTACTTAAAATACATTTCAAGAGTGTTTGGTTTTTTTTTTTCTTTTTACACAGTCAGTAAAGATACCATGAACATCGTCAACAGCCAGTTGATGATGTTGATGACTATGATAGTGCCATAAAAGCAAAAAGCTTGTGTTCTACTTTCTTTATCACTTCGAAGGAATGGGGGAGCTGTTCCTGATGGTTAGATGTCTCATTTTCTTGGTTGCTTCAGTGCTGATATCAAGAAAGCAAATATTACTGAAAAAAAGTCGCTCATAGGTTTTGGAGCTTAGTTTGCTCTGCTTATCTTTCTTGAGACTCTGTGCCTTGATTATGAACCAGATAATGAAGGAAAAAAAAAACAAAACCCCAAACAAAAAGATACTTTATCTTTCAATTCTTAAGATACTGCAGAAACAGTTACTAGAGGCTAAAGTAACTTCTATTCTTATATCAGTAAGCTAGGTAGGGATACGCTGTTCTTTATCTGTTAACTTAGTAATAGGGATAGCTGTTTGTTTTAAAATGGTAGAATATTCTTCCAAGATGTTACTGGATACTTATTTTCTTCTTAAGTATCAAGTTATATTTGGGTGTGTGGTGTATGAGTTGTTCAATGTGGATAGAAAGAAAAACTAAGCTGTTTTGGGGAATGTAGGAAGGAAGATTCCTGTATTCTGTAATGAAGCATTTGAAAGCCATGTGGAATGATTTTCCTTGTTCCTTAGCTGCTCTTCAGTGCACTGTAGTAATGAGTACCACAATCATAGTTCTTAAATTAAAGGTAATACTCTGAGTAATGGAAGATACTTATCATTAGGCTAATTTTGAAGTATAGAAAGGAATCTTGTTTTGCGATAATTTTGGGGTTTCTATTAGTTTTGTTAAAGATATTGTAGGAGAGCAGGCATTGCGATTTGATAGTTTAGTTGAGTTTGTATATTTCTAGGGAGAAGGGGATAGGAGAGGGGAAGGAGAACTCTCTGGTGTCTTGTTTTTGAACACACTGTCATAAACATCTTTACAAAAGCTCTGCTTATGCACCATCACTTTGGCAATATTGGATTAAATGAAAGGTAAGGTGTGTAAGAATTGTCTGTTCTTAGCAGACTGGCAGTGTACCAAGTCAGTTACTAGCTGCTTATCCGACCTGTTTTTGTATGATGCAGCAAAGTCTGTCAGTTAGATTTTTCTTTCTTAGCCTGTGCATCCTGAACTATCTGCTTTATTTTTCAGGTTAAGTCAGCTAATTGAATATCTGTTACTTAGATTCTTGGGGTTTTAATATTTGTGGACTAGGAAGCATAAATTGATTACGTACATAGTTAGAGCAGAGATAATTTTACAGAAATATACTTCTAAAGCAAATTGGACAGATAATTTATTCAATAAAATAATGTTTTTATTACAGATTTTGGACCAACCACGATGAACGTTTTCTATATATGTTAATGGAGTATGTGCCAGGAGGAGAACTTTTTAGTTACCTGCGCAACATGGGGCGTTTCAACAACAGCACGGGACTGTTTTATTCTGCAGAAATTATTTGTGCAATAGAATACCTGCACTCCAAAGAAATAGTTTACAGAGACTTAAAACCTGAAAATATATTACTAGACAAAGAAGGACATATCAAGCTTACTGACTTTGGATTTGCTAAAAAGCTGGTGGATAGGTAAGTAAGTTTTTGTTATAGTAATTACGTTTTGCACATTGAGCAGAAGAAAAGAGCTTGCTTTCAGAGCATTTCACCTAATAGTCCATGCAGTTCACGCATGTCAAATACCTTAATTTAAAGAAAACCATCATCTTGAAAGGGCTGCAAGGAAAATCAATATTACACCTTAGGTATAACTAGGAGGAAGATCACAGATAAGCTACTGTAGTAAAATATTTTTGTCTGAGTAGTTTTGTATTTTTAAGTTTTCAGTGGTCATCTTGTAAAAAAGGACTTCAGTGAAGTAATAGAAAATATTGAGATCTGTGCATCAGTATATTAAATGGGACATTAATGCTCCATACACATTGAATTGCTAAGTGTTTTGTAATTCGTGTTTTCTTCTGCTTTCCTTTCAGAGAGGGTTTTTTTTTTAATATGGGAATAGCATTTGAAAACTGGATATTTTGTTTTTACTAGCCTGTTGCTAAAATGGAACTGCAAAATCTAGACAGAAACAGTAAGGCAAACTTAGCAGAATTGATTTATTTCACTTTAACTTCTACAATACTGGCAGCCTCAGTGTATGCAGACTTTTTGGCAGCGCAGAGGTGTTTTTTTTTCCCCTCAGTGATTTCTCTGTTCTCTCCATTTGAACTACTCTTCTGAGATTATAATAGATGTTCTTAAAAGGAAGCAAGAACTGTCACTGGGATTAAAAGAAAAAAAGGGGGGGACGGGGACAGATGGACAGGACTAGCCTTTCATGTTAGAAAAGTGGTGTGACAAGTTTTGGTATTATGCCCTTGGGCCACCTCTTGAAGGAGGCCATATGTGAGTTAGGTGTTACATAGGTGCTCATCCTCTTCAGTCCTCTATCTGTTTTCCTGTTTAATGCTGCTTTTGCAACATCTCAGTGTCTATGTGAAATTCTACAAAATCAGTTTAAAGTGAAGATGGATCTGAGGGATCAAATCACCTCACAGAGGTCATAAAGGTTGCTTCCCTATGCGTTACATTCTTACAGTGCTGAGTTGCCTTGACACAGGCGAATGGTAGGCAACTGAGTACACTGGTTCTAGTCGCCTTTGAGGTCTAAGTGTCTGTTTTAAAACCATGTTTTAATATCAACATGTTTGACTGAATTCAGTTTCCAATGGTCAAGCAGATAGGTGTAAAAATGTGGGTTTGTTTTATTTTTTGCTATTTTGTTTTTAAATGAAAACTACTTTTTGTGGGAAGAGGTGAAGCTACTTCCATGTAAGAAAGCAGGATGATCTTTTTATAAGATATTTTCATACAAATTCTTACACTTCCTTTTTACATGTAGATACTGCCACTTAGTGGTTATTCTTAATTTGGATTTCTGTGGGTTTAAGACACAACAGATGTAGCTCTTCATTAAATAAAGTGATAGTTCACTTCAGAGTATAGTTTTCAATCCAGGAGATGAATCTATTAAAGTAAATTTGTTCAAATACATTTTAGGACATCAAAAGAAGCTATCACTACTTCTTTTAACTGGGTGGGGGTTTTGTGTGTCCTACATTGCTTGGGGGGGAGCAGTGAACTTGAGCAGTTTGTTCGGAATTGAATCATAGATCACATAGAAAAATTAAATAGCCTTGTATTTATAGCTGATTTACTTGTAACTGTACAACAGGTAATAAAGAACATAAAATTGAAAGGAGCAAGGGCTTAACCAGTTAGAGTACAAGCAGTTACCTATGCAAATCTGGTTTATTTGGGTTGTTTTGTTTTGTTTTTTTTTTTTGTGTTGGGGTTTGGGTTTTCTTGGTTTCGGGCTGTATTCTCCACCCTAGCTGTAGTCATTTTCATAACACTGGGGTTTTTTTCTCTGTAAAGGTACACAGTTGTCAGCAATTTATCCACTTACTTTGTTTCATAGACTGTTTGATGAGAAGTACAAAGACATGTTTTGTCATCTTTATGCACAGCAGATGTCTGTACACGTGAACCTTATATGGAAGTATGTGAATGTTTCTATCTGTATACATATATATACTGTATATGAATTGTGAAAATGAAACACAGTCTATATGTTTTTCAAACAACTGTGAGGAAGCACGCCACTTAGGACCAGCAAATGTATTCCTAGGGAAGGGAAGACAAGACATGATATGTAAAATAAAGCATGGTCTGCAGAAGACCTTCAAAAATACAGTTACAGTCTTGATACACAATGCGTCCCATGAATGATTCTGTAGTTGCTTAATTGAGATTTTTCTGTACATGTTTTTCTTCCCATTACAGTGTGTGAAAGGGTGTTCACCATATCCATCTACAGTTAAGCAGCTCTTCAGAGAGAGTGGCTGGCTCATAGCTTGTGTCCCCATGTGGGAAGTAGCCTGCACATTTACCTGTTTATTACATTTTCTGAAGGGCTAGGCTCCAATTTTTAACCTAGAGAAAGAGGAAATCCAGGAAGTTTTCTTGTTTCCTCCTGTTCCTTATTGATTTGTCCTTTTGTTTATCCTTGTTCCTCCCTATTCAGTCATAGTGTACTCTTAAAAATTCTAAGTTTTTCTTCAAAACAGTGTCTTTGCTCAGCTGCTGTTTATTTCTTCTACCTTGGTGTTGCTTAACTGGAGACTTTTCAGTTTTTTGTAAGTATATTCACATAAAATAGATGTGCCACTACTTTTAAAAAAGGGCAGTCAAGAAAAAAAGATGGGGAGGGGATGTTTGTGATTGTTACCTGAAGAATGTAGAAAGAATTTGCTTTAAACTTTATAGCCAGTACATGTTCAGAGTTTTCTTTTTCTGGAAAACAAATACCACATAATCCACCGTGAATAAATGTATATCCATTAAACATGTTTCTGATCTTTCTCACTTGTGGGCCTTCTAAATTAGTTTTTGTTTTAATTCCTGAATTCTTTCAGAGACATATGAAACTAAAGTTCATGGAATTTTGTTTTTTATGCATAGACTTCCCTGAGAATGTTGTGAAAGTTTTAGGTAAAGTTAGGACTTTTATTTTTAGGAGTGTTAAATTTAGTTTGTTGAATTTAAATTCCTAAAAACATCCCTTAGTTGTTAAACTGTGCAAGTCTTCCTAGAAACTTGAGAAGTGATTAACCATAAAGACATTGGGGACACTTCTGCACTGTTACTGAAAATGGTTGTGCCTCGTGACTGGTCTGTGGAGTGGACTGAAGAGAGAAAACAAAACAAAATAAAAAACAAAACAACAAAACAGGACACAGCAAGTCTTGTTTGCAGAGTGTATTGTTTGTCACAAAGCAATCTCCACTGAATATAATTACAGAGAAACTTCCAGACAAGAATGCCAACAAGTACATTGTTGTTAATCTCCAGCTTGTATGTGAGAAGCCTGTCAGGAACTGCAGAGGTGGAAGCTGAATGGTGTAGAGTGCTGAAATACGTTAAACATAAAGAGTTAACTTCTTCAAATAATACTGTTAACAAGTCCTGCAAATACTACTTATAGCTTATCTTAGTGACCAGAGTAAATTCTTTGGTTTATTTTCATGTTTTAAAATTGAATGTTCAAACTTACTAACTGTTGCTTACCTTCAGCTTTTATCTTGAAAACCCAGGGCAATGGACTTGTTTTTGTAGTAGTTTGAATGACATGGTTTATTCTTATTTTTGTGCTTTCTAATTTATCTTCAAAAAGATTATCTGGAATTTCTGATGAATATGCAACAGTCATGAAATAGTAATGATAAAAAACCCAAACAAACCAAATCAAAAAAACAACCAAACAAAAACAAACCAGAAAAAAAATACAAACCCCAAAAAACTTAAATGCCATAAAAAGATGAAGTCATCTTTCTTGATTAATTTTAAAAAATATTAGCTTGTTTAATGACTAAAAAATGAGGAAGTCATGATCTTACAGCACAAATACACAACTTTACAAAGAATTTGAGCTTCCCCCAAGTTTTTGTGTAGTTAGTAAACATAAATTTATTGATTGAAATTAAGTAGATGACCTACTGGTGGTAATAAATTGTATTTCCTAGTGCAGCTAGGGGTCTTCAAGATATGTTGGTATTTCCTTAATTTGTGTTTTCCTTTTGCTTGAAAGAAAAGATCTTGTTATTAATCTATACTGTTACAAGAGGATCAGCAAGGCCAAGTCAGATATGGCGATGTACTCTCTGAGCCCTTCCCAATAACCAATGCCGTGAAACAAGGTTGTGTTCTCACACCAACTTTATTCACAGTCTTCTTCAGCATGATGCTCCAAAGGGCTAGGGTAGACCTCTACGAACAAAACAGCATTTATATTTGATATCATGCTGATGGTAACCTAATCAATCTAAGGCGACTGAAGGCCCACACTAAGACCTTAAATCATCTTGTCCGTGAACTGCTTTTTGCTGACGATGCTGCCCTTGTTGCCCACACAGAAGCAGCTCTGTAGCTTTTAACATCTTGCTTTGTGGAGGTGGCTCAGCTTTTTGGGCTGGAAGTCAGCTTGAAGAAGACAGTAGTACTCTACGAACCTGCACCACAAGATTATCACCATCCCCACATTACCATTGGTGAGTCAGAGCTTAAGTCAGTTCAGCTATTTGGGAAGCATTATTTCCTCGGATGCCACGATCGACAAAGAGGTAGATAACAGAACAGCAAAGGTGTATAGAGCCTTTGGAAAACTCCATAAAAGAGTCTGGTGCAATAAGCACCTGAAGAGAAGTATAAAGATTAGTGTCTATAGAGCCATTGTACTGTGTACTCTTTTATATGGGTCTGAATCATGGGTTGTCGACTGTCATCACCTGCGACTTCTCGATCGCTTTCGTCAGTGCTGCCTCCGTACAATTCTAAATATCCATTGGACTGACAGTGTTAAATGTTACTGTCCTTGAACAGGCAGGGGTCACCAGTATTGAGGCCATATTGCTGAAATTGCAGCTATGCTGACAGGGCACGTCTCTAGGATGAAGGATCACCGCCTCCCTAAGATCGTGTTTTACGGTGAACTTGCCACTGGTTGCCACAAGAAAAGTGCCCCAAAGAAGAGATATAAGGACTCCCTGAAACAATACCTTAGCCTTGGCCATATTGACAACCATCAGTGGTCCACCTTGGCCTCCAGTCGGGAGACTTGGAGACACCATACATAATGCCGTTGTCTCCTTTGAGAACACATGCAGGACTAGTCTCAAGGAGAAAAGACAACATAGAAAGAATCGCGCCCCACCTATACCACCCAAGGAGACTTTTTGTTGTGCTTTTTGCAACCGGATTCGCCTATCCCACATTGGCCTTTTTAGTCATCAGCGGGCTTGTAGTGAGCCCTTCCCAAATCTTCGTTCATAAAGTCAAGCCATGAATTGAGTATCCTTTTAGACACATCGTTACCAGCAAATTATGGAGGTCCTGGAAGTCATGGTCAAACCTTAGACTAATTTTTTTTTTTCTCTATGTAAATGACTTTGATAAGGGATAAAAACCACCAAAGACTGCACTTTTGCTGAATTTGGGGTTTCATAGTTGTGGCAATTTTGGGGGAGGAAAGGGCGACCACTGTGGGACATTGCTTTGTAAACCATCTAGCTTGTCCATTAAAACATGCGCCTGCTCTATTTGCTTCATTTGTATGCCCCTTCTTCCCAAATAGAGTAAAACTCCTAGCTGCTTGATTTGCAGAGCTGGCTAAATGAGTATAAAAAAAATTAAGACAATGGACTGTAATGCAGCCATGTAAAACCCTGTAATAAAGGGGTTGTTTTGTTTTAAGAGGTAGCGAAGCGTTGCTGCTTTTCCTGATCACCTACTCCTTATCTGGACAACCGCTAGATGGCAGTAGTGTGTAAATCAGTGCTGTGCGTAAGGATTTTCTTCAGCGTGCTTGAATTGCAAAAAGTTTCTATTTTCTAGCAATAAAAAATATGCCACCTTTTTATGATGAAAATTAAATATGTATTATTTACACTAATGAATGTATTTCCAAGAACCGTGTATAGTGTTGTCCAACACATTCTGACAGTTTACCTGGAGTGATTTAGCTTATTAAAACCAAGGTTTTCCATATTAAAATCATATTAAAACCAAGGTTAAAGAAATTCAACTCTGTGCATCATGAACCTTCATTTAAAGTCTTGACTGACTGTATAGCTCCTCTTTCTTGATGTTAAGTGTTTTTATGAGTCAAGGTTAAGTTGTGAAAAACCAAACAGACAAAAGAGAAAACAATAAAAAAGAAAAAAAAATGTTGACAGTCTGAGATTCCATAAGGTGCATCTTGATTATCTATTTAGGGTTAGGAAAATGATTTGTTATGTTTAGCAGAACAGTGGTAGGAAAAATCAGATCTTGAATATGTGTGACTTCTAAGAGTGATTGCTTTTCAATCTAATGCATTTTTCTAGCACCATATTACCAGTTTGATTGGAGAAGATTCTACCTGCACTCACAAATAAAACAATTAGAGGTTTTTTTGCTGCAAGTTAGAAATTATATGCAGTGATAATTAATTTTGTCACTATATTCTTTGTCCTGTCTTACTAGAACTCTTCTTAAAATGCAGTATGCTTTTTTCTTTCTTGTTCTGTGCTCTTGTTTCATTCTCTCTTGAACTGTACTTTATCATAGTTTCATCTTCTGACTGTCTACCTAAGAAGTGTAATTTATTCAGAATGAAAGCACTTTTTTTTTTTTCTCTAGTGCATATTAAACATAAGGTAGTGATGCCAGGCAAATTCTTCATGGGTATTTTTTACAAAGAAGAGTTCACAATTCTGAAAGAAATGGTTTCAGAATATTCTTTGTTTCAAAATGTAACTTGGTCTTTGTAAACATTAACTGCTTAGTTTCAATTTATTTCTTGAATTTATAGAACTTGAAATACACATTTCAGTTAGGTAGCAATAGGACAGTTTTATATCCTGAGCTTATATTAAGAAAGCTATGTCAAAAAATTTTACACCTTGTAAATATTTTAAACAATTGAATATAAAAAATGTTTTCTTTTTAAAGTGATAACAGGCAACATTTCAATACCATTTGAAGAATGTCGCTTAAATTGTGAAAGGAATCCTGCACATGTCTGTAGCTATTTACTGATTAAAGCTACTACTTTTTTGTCTCCTCCTCTTGCCTTTGTTTTTTCCAAACAAAAAAATTTTATTGTTGCTGGAATATGCTAATAAGCTTGCCTTCTGCTGAGCCTGTCAGAAGTACTGCATGAAATCCCAGGGTCTGCAGTTCCCAGGGTGACAACAGCTGTTAATAACGTCAAGACAGTGTGATAGCCTAATGGATACCATCAGTCAGCAAACTGCACATGTACTTCCTGCAGGCAGGAAGTTTCTTGATTTCCTTATATCTCAGTTATAGGAGAATTGGAGATCCTCATCGAAGCAGTCCTTTTTAGGTCTTGTAAAAGTCTTTTTGTTTGTTTTTTCTTTGGTTGGTTGGTTGGCTTGTTTATTTTGTTTTGGTTTTGTTGGTTGGTTTTTTTTTTCTTTTTTTTCTATTACTACTATTTCAGTTTTAGGTTAGTCTGTGTTTGTTTGTTTGTTTAATTTTTTTTCTGTCTTCTTTTCCTCCCAGGACATGGACGCTCTGTGGCACTCCAGAGTACCTTGCACCAGAAGTTATACAAAGCAAAGGCCATGGAAGAGCTGTGGATTGGTGGGCTCTAGGAATTCTTGTATTTGAGATGCTGTCAGGGTAAGTGATAATGATTACTATATTACAGCAATATTATATAATAAAGTAATACAGGGTTCTTTGCTTGTTGTGTTTATGATACTCAGAATAGCAAATTTGGGTTCAATTTATTATTGATACAAGAGTTTCATTTCCTGAAGAAAGGAATTGGGAAGGTGTACAAACGAACATGCATCATTACTGTTACGGTTTTTTTTTTTTAACGCTTTTTTTTTAATTTAGTTTGATGGTCAATTTTGCTTTTGGGGTTTTTTTTGTTGTTTTTTTTTTTGTTGTTGGGGTTTTTTAATCTAAGACTTTTAACAGCTGCTCTTTTCCTTATCTGTTTTGGAAATCCAGGTTTTGTTGAAGTTTAGATTTTTATGTACCACATCCTTTATATTTAAAGGATGAAGAAGAGGACTAACCAGTTTTCTTTGAAACTTCTGTAATTAGTTTCTAGTATAGTGAAATCATATTTGCAGTGAGAGCTATAGTCATCCAAAATGCATTGTGGCAAGTAGGAAATTTACTAGTACAGCTAAAGAAAAAGGAACAGCGAAAAATGTCTATTTGGAAGTCAGTTTGCTCAAACTTGTAATTCTCATGTTTTGGAATTTGCTTGATAAGCAGTGTTTCTGAAAGATACAAATTCAAACTGTATAGAGACTTTCTGGCATTAATATAGTTTACTGCTCCTGACTTTAAGTGTTGGGTAGGTAAAATTACGGTCAATTCGCTCTGATTTCAAAAAAGAAATGCTATTTTGAATAATATTTAAATGACTGGTTTAGGTAGGGAGAACATGTAGTTTTGCTTGTGTACTAAACAAGGCATCTGCATGTTTTTCTTTTTTCATCTTGGCTATATCATTTGAAGGTACTTAGACAAAGAGTGGGAATTTTGAAAGAAATCTATTTTGAGCTGGTCAATGCAGCAGAACAAATGCTGGTGAAAGCGAGTTTTGTATGGCTTTGAAAGAAACACAGTATCAGTATCATCAGTATCAGTAACATCGTTTTAGTTTCATAGTTGTTAGAATGTTTTTAGTATTAGGTCCCTGTACTTTCTTGCTCCCTCAGAGTGTGTCCAGTTGCCTCTGTGGCCTTCCATTATGGATCTGCAACCCCACAGAGTGGCTGGAATAAAAACATCTTTGCATGGATTTATTCTTTCTTTTCTCTGTACAGTACTGTCAGTTCAGGGTAACTCTGGGGACTTCTGGTGTTTGGACAAGCTTGTCAAGTTGCCCAGGCAGACAGTTCCCCTGGTGGACAATCACTTCAGAGCTCCAATCCATGGCGTGTGTTTGCACTGAAGAATTCCACCCAATAGCATCAAAACTTGATCCCAAGACAGCAGTGCTGCCCACTGTTTGCTTTCTTAATATCCTGAAGGCTTGCATATCCATTGACTGAATCTCAAGGTGATTTCTAGGCAGAAAAGGCATAAAAATGTATTAGGTCCCTACTGACCACGGCAGGGTTGGCTGCCTTGTCTAACAAAAAGTCATTATTTACGTAGGCTGATCTATGCAGAAGCCAGGCTTCACATTTGTGTCTCCTGTCCCTGTAAGGGTGAATGGCCCAAGCTGGTCAAGGGGCAACTCACGATGAAAGGAGCAAAAGATTCCCAGCAGCCCTTTTACCACTAATCTTTGTCCCAGACACCATGAAGACTGTAGATAAAAGTGTCTGATGCTGTAACATGATTGCAGGTGCTGCAGTCTCCCAGCTATAATCTGAGTGATTTATGTTCCTGCCACAGGTTTTGGTGGGACCACTCTCTGGTCTGTGTTGTCTCGGTGTAAGTGGATATTTTTCGTTTTTCCTTTCTGCACCTTACAGAGCTGTTGATGAAATTTTCCCTGCTAGAGCAGTAATAGAAACATAGTTTCCAAAGTTAACATACTGACTACAGGTATTAGTCAAGTAAGGTCTGGTCTCTGGAGTCATTGAGACCTCAAGACTGCAGGGTGCTGAAGTATGACTGCTACATATATTCTACTGAAATATGACTGGCGTATATCCTTCATAAAAATAGGGAGCAGGCGCAGTCATTTCTATGTGAAATTCTTTGTGTCCTGATGCTATCTGTCTCAAGGGATAAGATTTGGATTACCCCCAGCTTAACATAAATGGTTTGGTTATAGAGACTCTTAATAAATAGAAATAAACTACGTATTTCTAAAAGGCAACCGAGTTCTTATATGGGCTGATTGACAGAGCAGCTGTCTGCTGCACTGATTTTGTAATGTTTTTTTGCTACAGTATCTGTGCAGACATGTTCTTCATAATGATTGGATGCTCCTTTTTACTTTTTAGTGCTCAGGTGGAGTCCTTATCCAAAGCTGGGACAGGGACTCCATCTAAGTTTGCTTGTGTTTTTTTTTGTTCAGTTTGTTTTATTTTATTTATTTTATTTTATTTTATTTTATTTTATTTTATTTATTTTATTTTAGTGGGGGATGGAGATTGATACTACTTGCTTAGGATTTTCAAGATTCCGGGGTTTGGGAGGTTGAGAAGAATAGGGATTGTGGCTTATGTGTGATTTCTTTAGGAGGGCAGGTTGTGACATCAGGCATATGCTTTTAGCATTTTATCAGCTTTTTTCTATAGGTGGCAGTAGTGTTTTATGACTCTTCTTCACCAACTCAAGATGTGGCTTGATATTTACTATCAAGACTTGAAATGCAAAACCAGTCCTTCGTAACTTAATCCCTCGGAGTTCAAAGATTTGAAAATTATTTGAAGGTGAACAAAAACCTGACTTCAAGACTAAATTGTTATCTGCAAGTTACTGAAGACATTTGGCAGCTATTTGCTGAAGTTACTCTCTGAACCCCAAAAGCAATTGAAAATAATTGATAGATGTGTGTGTAAGGAAATGGTCTCTCTAAAAAACAAACAAACAAAACCACACTTTCCTGTTCTGCAGTGTCTTATTTCTCTGACTTAATCTCTGGAGGCCCATAGAATTCTAAATCTGCACACACTATATTTAAGGCAAGGTCTGTTTAGGTTTAAGATAATAAAATATAAGAAGAATAAAAAGCATAAAATATAGAAGAGCAGGGGAGAACCATGGGTTAGAAGAAATCTTTACAGCACAGATGAGTAGTACCAAATTAGGAGAGTTAACCTAAACAAACTTGTTGATTTATTAGGTAGCTTCCATCACAATACTTTTTTTGTCTAAAATCCATGCTGTGTTGAAAATAGATGTTTACAAGTAGTTTCAAAGTCAAATTGGTTTGTCTGTAAAAAATCTCTCATCTTTCAAAGCTGTTCTCATTTTGCATACGTTCAAATGCACTTTAAGCGGTCTTGCCATTAAGCTAATATAGAGCCAAATGTGATTTAAATTTCTCGCAGGAATTCTAGACATATTAATTTCAGTTTTTCAAAGTGGGAAAGGAAAAAGCAATTTAACCACGTGTAAATATACATACTTGTTCTTGATTTTACACCACAGTAGTGTACAGAATGTAGTAGTACTTTTTTATCCTTATACACACAGACAGCTTTTCTTAACTATACTGATGGAGATGTGAAAATACTTTAAACATCGGATTTTAATATCTTAATATAGTTCATACTCAAAATGCCTTTATTCTGTAGGGGTTTTTTTTTGAGACAGAAGCATAGTAAAAGGGATGCTTTGGTCATGTTATAGAAGTTAAGGTGGGACTGAGATTAGTAGTTAGTTTTTTCATTCCCCTAACAGGTTTCCGGTAGTAACTTCTAAAAAGGTGACTGCCACTTTGAAAAACCTTTGGCACTTGGGCTGAGCTGCTTATACCAACTGTAATATTCTGATCCTCTTGCAGTTATTAGGAGATGTGTTACATTAGTAAAGGAAGCACAACAGAAAATACTTGATTCTTATTGGAGCTTTAAAATAAGTACTCTTTGCTCATAACTTCATGAATGTTCTAGACAATTCTAAGTTTAGATTTTTAATTGCATCTTGATCATCTTGGGAAGATTATGAAATAAGTACTTTATCTGTCCCACACAGAAAGACAGCTACACTTTGAGAGAATTTCAGGTCTGTCTCTTTCAAAGCTTCTTTAACAAGATATATACAGGAATTCAAGAAGCAGAATTATGAACTGAACTGAACAATCTATTCATATGAGGATGCTTTAGAAACTAGTGAATAAGGGTATGTAAGGGTATGTCTGCAGTTATAGGACAAGATCAAAAATGGCAATGTTGTTTTGGAAAGTGTACCATTGGTTTTTATAGATAAAGGCAAAACATTTTAACATTGAAATATGTTTCATAGTTGATTAATTACTGTGCTAATGTAACAAAATCCTCTCTCGTAATACTTCAGTTTTAATTCTGTATTCAATATATTGCATTTATTTATTTTTTTTCTATTTTGCAATAGCAGATTTAGGTTATTCTTCAAGCTAGTATTTGATTAATGATGTCATACCAAAAACAACTATGTAATCAGTGATTTCTGAGGGGAATTACTATAACATAATACTGTTTATAAGGTTTTCTGAAATTCTTTTTCTAACCTCTAAAATTTTGCTGTATTAAAATAGGTTTCCTCCATTTTTTGATGACAATCCATTTGGTATATATCAGAAGATTCTTGCTGGCAAAATAGATTTCCCAAGGCATTTGGATTTATATGTAAAGTAAGTCCATGACTCCAAACACTTTTATATTCTATACAACTCCTTAGTACTGTTTCTAAAGAATCTTTGTAGAAGGTTTTATAAAACACTGTCCTGGCTTCAGCAGTAGCAGTCATTTTTCCCCTTCTTAGTAGCTGGTGCAGTGCTGTGGTTTTGACTTTCAGCCTGGGAACAACGCTGATAACAGCGATGTTTTTAGCTGTTGCTCAGTAATGTTTACTCTGACCAGGGACTTTCTGAGTCTTATGCTCTCCCAGGGAGGGGAGGCCGGGAGGAAGCAGAGACAGGACACCTGACCCAAACTAACCAGAGAGGTATTCCATACCACAGCATATCATGCCCAGTATATAAACTGGGGGCAGTTACCCAGAGCTAGATCGCTGCTTGGGTTGGGCTGGGTATTGGTCAGTGAGTGGTGAGTGGTTGTATTCTCTTCCCTTGTTATTCCACTTATCATTATTATTATTGGTGGTAGCAGTACTATTTTTGTATTGTACTTTAGTTATAGGACTGTTATCTCAACCTGTGGGAGTTACACTCTTCTGATTCTCCTCCCCATCCTTCTGGGAGCGGGGGGCGAAAGAAGGGGTGAGAGTGATCAAGCAGCTGCATGTTTCCAAGTTACTGGCTCGGCTTAAACCACGACAAACACCATGTTGGAAAATATTTTAGATTACATTTATTCTTGCAGTCCAAGAAAAAACTATGTCTTTGGTAGACTTCAGACTGGAGATATGGTTCTAAGATTGTATCTGCACTTCTTACTTTTCTGCATATTTTAGAATATTAAGTGTTGTTCACCTTTTACAGAGCTTATTGGTATCAGGTTAGTGCGTGGCAGAAAGAAAAGAGGAGAAATATGAGGAGATAGGTAATTTAATATGAGTAATAATTTGGAGAGCAGGAAGTGAACACTAAACTGTTCCTTTGTATGCATATGTACCAGTTAAAGCACTCTCAACTACCTGAATAAACTCATGATACTTCACAAGTTCCAGTGTAAAATCAACTTCCACTTCTGATAGCAGAGCCCCAGTTCAGTATGCAGTATTAAATATTCATATGTGTATTTTATTCATCGTATTTTGCAATTGTTATGGGCATATTGCAGATAAAATGCTTTTTTTCCCATTTAAAAAATCCAGAATTGAAATTTTTTAGTAAACATTAGAATAGAGGAAGTGTAATCAGAAGCAGAGGTGATTGAGTCAAGACAGAAAATTATTCTTACATTCCCAGGTTAATCATTGAAGGTGTTTTGATGAAGTGACCTTAGAGATGGCATGCACTTACTGTCACCACAAGATAATAGGTAAAATGTTGTGCAGCAAATCTGATGAGATCTGTCCAACTTATGCTGGCCTTTTATGAATTCTTTTACAAAAATAATCATTTGGGGAGAATTTTTTAAGCCTCCACGGAATCATCAGGTGCGCTGAATGAAGCACATCTACATCATCATATGCTGATTACTGTTTCATATTTGTGTCTGCTCTTAACAGAGTTTTCCCTTACAATCTTGAGACTATTTTCAATTTAGTGTCGTCTCATTGTCTGATCTTCCTAACCCAGTCTGTGTTGGGAAGAAAATTGAGTACCTCACATAACATTTGTGCACTAAAGTGCAAGAGTGTGCCCGGAAGATGAACACCTCAAATTAGGTTATTATCATTAGCAGCCTGTCTAACATGGAGAAAACATTTAGAAGTAAAGAAGCTGTTAGCTTCTATGTGCACTCAACATTCACAGACCAACGCTGATTTCTATTATCCAGAGGATGTCTGGTGCTGTGAAGTTTGCTACTTACGGTAGTAAGCATGCATATGTAGGTTTTGCTCTTCACTCTAGATGTGACTGCCAATGAACTGTAGGATACATTAGTCAACATAATTGTTGATGCACTTCTTTCCCAGCTTTTCTTATTCAGTTGTTCTTTCAGTGTGTGCGTTGCAGCTTATTCCCACTGCATCCTGCCTCTAAGGCGTCTCATGAGATTCTAGCTTTGGCTTTCCGCATTTCACACTTCGGTTTTGGGTGATCTCATTCATTTGCATTGTTTCACCTGCTTTATGCAGTGAGTTGTTACCATAATGTATCTCTCTTGTTACATCAACCCCTCTTTTAAAATCAAAAGCAGAACTGGATAGTCTTGACATCTCTGCACCACTGGCTTAAAGCAAGTGCCAAGATTATTTTGTCCTAAGAAGACAGTCTACTTCTTAGCTTGTTTGTATCCTATTTGCTTTCTCTCTTCTTGCTATCAGTTGGTATCTCAACAAGGTTGAAGACTATCCATTCAGGCTATGTTATAGAATCATAGAATCACAGAATAGTTAGAGTTGGAAAGGGCCTTAAGATCATCTAGTTCCAACCCCCCTGCTGTGGGCAGGGACACCTCACACTAAACCATCTCACCCAAGGCCTTGTCCAACCTGGTCTTGAACGCTGCCAGGGATGGAGCATTCACAACCTCCCTGGGTCTGAAGTATTAGTACTATATAGTGTTTATAATAACTGAAGTTTAATACTCTGGTCTCGCACAGCACAAGTATTTTCCTTTTTGGACTCTGAGAAAACTTTTCTACCTAGATGTACTACATAAACCTGATATTTTTCTACCTGCCTGCCTCCATCACCCTTCCACACTTTTAACCTTTTGAACTTTTGCTTTCCCTCCTGCTGCGTGCTGCTATGTGTCTTGTGTAAGTGCTGTTCTTTCTAGACTGAGCCAACATCTCCTCACATTTTTCACTACTGTGGCCCTTTTTTTAGCTGCCTTGCAATATGATCAGATGTTTTCTCCAAGGCTTTTGTCCTGTATACATGAAGTCCTTGCATATTTGACCATTATGTCAGGTCTCTTCTGAAAAGCAGCTTCTGCCATGATGATGATGATAAATTAATCAACTAGAAATTAAAAAATAAAAGTGTTGGTGGAGTTTTGTGTTACTTCATTATACATAATACATAATTATTATGCTCCACGTATTTCTTTGACCGCTAATGAGTTTATAAGTAATTTCAGGGATTTTTTGTTCGTATTTTTTTGTTTTGTTGCTTTGGTTTTTGGGTTGTTGGGGTTTTTTTTGCTTTTTGTGAGCTTTTCTTAGCAAAGACAGTTTTGGAAAATACCAAGTCAAACATGAGCGCTACAGCACTTTAATGATAACTGGTCTAGAAAGGCCTTAATGTAGAATTTCAGTTTCCAAATACAAAGTGCAGTGTATCTGTCGGATGGACTTTTAACCTGATCGTTTCTAAATTATTCTTTAGAAACTACGTAGTAAAGAATGACTAAACTATCTGTTAGTTCTTTCAATTAAATGGACATTCATTCTTCTGAATGCAGCAAATGTATTAATCTCTGGTGACAACACAGTATCACTGATCAAGGTCATCCTTTTATTTTTCTAATTGTTATTTTCTAAGATAAAATTTTGAAGGAAGCCAAGAATGAATGATCCATTGTATGTTTTCTGGTTATATAGGAACAGGAAACTCCATGATTTACCTTTGGTCATAGAGCCTGTGAATCTAGTTCTGGGTTTCTGGATTTCTTTTTAGTCCTGCATCTGTTTTAAAGTCTGCTTATAGCCATTCTGGTAGCCTTCTCCATAAGGAATAGTCTTCTCTGCTGAGAGAGATATCTGAAAAGAGATATTTCTGTGAAGGTGACTGTAAAAGGAGTCAGTCATATGATTTAATGTAATCCAAACATTGGTTGGAATGATCATGAGAGTTTTAAAAATTGCTTTCTATCTTGACTTTTTTATTCTCCTTTTATCTGCCAATTGAATATTTTTCCAGTTGAATTTTAGAACTACATTTCTGCCAAATACAACAGCTTTTAAAACAGTCTAGCACATTCAATCTCAATTCGTACATTCTTTGTATATATACTTTTGTGATTTCAAGGTTAGGTGACAGAATACTTGTTTTTTTTCGGGTTAGTAGATGTTATATTTACGGATGGAGAGATGCAGGTGTCTCATTAATACATTTACATTTTCTGTAAATAAAGGTGCTGGGTTTTTTTTTTTAACCTCCTGCAAATTAAAAATTGGAATTAGCTGTGCTTTGTAGATCTCCAGCATTTTCTGAAATATTACATCTCTCAGGTCTATTTGAGGCTGTAGAAAGAAGAAAGATGGCTAAACTTTTGTTCATTTCTGTCATTGGTACTTTATGCAATGAAGCCAGAGTGCTGTTGTTCTAAAAGTGAGTAGCAAAGTAATCTCTGAGATAAAAATAACTGTTCATAGAAATGTGAGGCCAGATTTTTCTCTCAACTCGTAAGTAACCAAGCTAACTGTGTGATACTCGCTTTGATTTATGTTAGTGTTTTTTGGTGCTTAATATTTAAAGCTCTTTGCTATTTAAAATTGAAACCCTTTATGTCTCTAAACTTACATTCATCTTTTAAAATGTTTATTTAGCTTTATATAGAACTGTTCAATAAACTAGAATTTCAGGGGAGGCTTTTGATTTTCAATTAAGTTAAAGCTTATAGATGTTACTACTTTTAAGCAAATGACTGGCTCTTCCATGCTTCTTTTGAATATTTAGCAGCCACAGAATGCTATATATGTTACAGTTGTGTTCTGCCAGGTAGGCTTGAGATAAATTTTGAGATTCTGAATGCCCAGCAAAACACAAAAATACAAAGAAAAATATGGTGCTGTTTGAGGGGGGAGAGAGTGTTTCTCCTTTGTTTCTTGAAAGAGTTTAAAAGGAACTTCCAAAATTCTGCAAGACCCTTTTAGAACAAGTTATTCCTTTTTATTATTCATTCTTAAATGTCTAAAATATGAAGGAAATGAATGGGTAAATTATGCACAGTATTGGCTAGTCAAAGGGAAGTATGCTCATATTCTGTAGCATTTTGTGCGACAGTAAAATATCAGTTACCTTTGTTTAACAGAGAACGTTTTTTCTTTACTGCAGAGACCTTATTAAGAAGCTGCTTGTAGTTGACAGGACAAGACGATTAGGAAATATGAAGGTCAGTATAAAATGTAACACAGAACAAAGCACAAGTTTGAAAGAATTCTGTAGGAAAGATTTAGAACAACTCTTCTATGGCTTTTGTTTTTATAATCATGAAATTGAGACACATTTTCCCATACATTACTCAGAAACCCTACTTGTTTACTGATTAATTTCAAGACTTGGTGCTAAATCCCGTAGCTTATTTGATTCTTCCTTTGGAGCTGTTTAATCCCAGAAGGAGCACTAATAAAATTTCAAGCTTAAAAATTATTTTAAGATGAATAAGGGTTGTTGTACCATGATGTTTGGTCATTGTCCTGGTAGTTTGGTGATGGGGCTGATTAAGCACAGTCAAGTAGTCTTGCACCAAGAAGAATCCTATTCCAAATAGCCATCTGAAGGCAATAGTTTACTAATAAAAAGTCTGCTCTCATCTCAGGTAGCAGTCCAACCTACCTGAGAAATACAGCTATGTCTGTGATATGTCATGATGGAACACAAAGCAATCTGGTGAATTCTGCAAGATGGCCTGATCTGGTACTACTTGTAAGGCACAGAAGATGACAGCTGTGTTAGAAACTTAGTTGATTTTGCAGCTGTGCAGTAGCTGTGGTTGGTAATGCAGTGGGAAGTTAGCTGCATGTGAACTAACTCAGGTGCTTTAACAGGGTTGCTAAACCACACATTAATCCTTTATTCATTGACTTGTTAGGTTTGTTAGAGTGTTGCAGATACCTAAATTAACCTGTGTAATGTTTTAATTCTTTAGAGACAGCTAAAACTTCCATTTCCTTGGGCAGGAGGTTACAGCTTTGCTTTTTTGTACAATATATAAGCATAGATGCTAGAACCTGCTGCCCAGAGGTCCTTTTCAGAGCCTTTTATGACACGAACTTAGACTGGTAAGAAAAGCTAGGAAATCAATGTTTTTCTTATCTTTCAGAATCCTTTGCAATGTTTTAGGGAGTCATCAGGGAGATTAAACCCAAACCCAAAGCTAAAAATTTAGAAAGATATTAGCCAGAAAACTTTTTGTATCTTTTGAAGAAAAACAAAACCAAACTTTGATTTATTCAAACATGGATTTTGGGCAATGTGTTTGGCTGGGGTTTTTTGTTGAGTTCTGGTTTTCTTTGGGATTTTTTGGTTTTGTGCTTTGGTTTGGATTTTTTGCCTTTTTTAAGTCTCTGAATGTTTGATTTACTGGAAGTTTTTCCCTACAATTGGCTAAAATGTTAGAATCAAAGTTCTAATTAGAAGCAGAATATGGGGTTGGGGCAGTAGGTCAGTCTCAAGTCTGATCCATTTCCTTAATCACAGTTGGTTTAAAAAGACTTAAAACCTATTGGACATTTTCTGGTGAACCATTCAATGAGATCTGCTTTTGAGGAGGAACTAGGTGAGAAATTATACTCTCCTTGTTGAGTCTTTGGATGTGCATATGGATAGTCCCACTCCATATAAATCTGAAAAAAAAAACAACCAAACACCAGAGCTATGGTACACTTCATTTCATGGAGCTACATGTCTTATGAGCTTTGGATGTGCATTAAAATAGTGCTGTGATCAGGCCTGAGACAGAGAGCCATCTGATTTTCTCCAGTGTTTAATGCCTCAGAAATGAACCTGTGCTTGAATCAAGCTTCGTCCTGGGGAGGGGAAGGAAAGGAAAAAGGGAAACAAAACAAAAGCAAAACATTTTTGTTCCTTATATGCATAATCAAAATAGGCATCCCAGAGAGAATTACCATTACAAGACAGATATGCTTTTAACCATATATCTAAAATGAAAACAAATGCTTTTATATGTATACTTTTGTAACAGTACTGAAAACCTCTTCTTGTCACGACTAAATGTCAGTAATATTGGATACAACTGTGTGCTTGCCAGATGTGATTTTTATTTTAGACACCATCAACTTCAGTTATATTTCTTTTAATTTGTGTAAGAATTAGCGGCATTCTCTAAAATGTTGGAGAAGACAGAAGTGGATAGAACTGCAGTGAATGGTTTTGCGATCTTCCTTGAGTCAGAAGAATGCTGCTTTAAAAAAACACAAAAAAGAAGAGAGAGAAATGTGGATCTTTTTCCTGGAATTAGGGGCCTGCTAGGGAAAAACAAATTTATCCTGTAGAATCTTTTAATGATTATTACCTAAAAAAATTAAAAAAGGTTGCACGGACCAGTAGTCTACCTTTATGCCACAGTTCTTATGATGAACTACATGGTTTAGTATGCATACAACTTACTAAATATTTATTTTTATTTTTTTCTTTAAAGAATGGAGCAGATGATGTGAAGAGACATCGGTGGTTCAGGTCTATAGATTGGGATGCTGTACCTCAAAGGAGACTAAAGGTATATTATGCAAAATACTGTATAGGATATTGCAACCAGAAATCATTGTTCTTTTAAGTGGTTTTTGTTTCCTGTTGCATCTGTATGCTCAGATGTGTGTATGGGTATGTGTGCATATGAACACATCAATAATTATATGCATTTTTTTCCCTTTTACACTGCAGAATTAATTATAGGATTGTCCACTTGCATTTTTGTCTATATGCAAAATGTCTGTAAAAACTCCCTGCCTTGTTTTGCTCAAGCTTAGTTAACACAACATTTAATTCTCAGTTTTAGAATTTTGTAATTTATTTGTTATAGGTGGTTGTTTCGTGTGAGGGGATTGGTGACTTGTTGGTTTGATTTTTGTTTTGATTTTTTTCTTTGCCCTTATATCTGTGCAAATGTTTTACTCTGGGCTTTACATTTTTGTGCCAAGTTCAATTCAGGTAAATTCTTTAATAAAATGTAAAGCATATGGAGTAGGAGGAATAGAGAAGGCGAGAGAGAAGGATTTATGAATGTGTTTCTGACATACTTTATAACAGCATCAAATTCTAGTATTATATGAGGGTAGATGTTTGCAAAAGCTATCAACACTGTAAAATGCTTTTTAAAGTTTTAAAACTTCTTTCTTTCCTTCCTTAAAAGCTATAGTACAACTTCTTACTAGTGTTTTTTGGTAGCATAGGTTGTTATATGCAGTCAATCAAGTATGAATTAAATGTTTGATTCTCCTTTGCATTAGTTTCTTACAATGAATTTCTGGCTAGATATCATAAATTGAGTTCTTGCAACATAGATATGAAAATGATCTTGATGTGTTCTTGTAGACATCCTAATACAAAGTTATAGGTAACTTTTTTCCTTAAATCCACATTTTCTTTAAATGCATGGATTTTTTTTTTATTTTTAATTATTAGTTTTATGTAGATCTTTTGTAATGAAGTCACATTTTTCCAGTTATTTACTGTAAATTTTGGTCACAAAAATCCAAAAACCACAAACGGAATAATAACATGTTTTGTAAGTTTTTAAACTCTGAAGTTTATGACAACCTACTGTATTACCAAATAAATAACAAACCCATAATATTAAACACTGAATATTAGAGGTACAAATGGAGAGTCTCAGGTCAAAACGTCCTGTGTGTTGCATTTTCATGTAAAAAAAAAAAAGTCACCATGGCTTTTAGACTATTATGAATCCAAAGCCTGTTTCTTAATTTTTGTGATGGTTACAGTAAGCTCTTAAACGGTGAGATGCTGCTTAATTATAACTCAGAGCGAAGATGTTAACTGGGTCAGAAGTTTACTTCATTATTTCTAGAGGCAGCTATATTCTTCAGAATTAATTTTCACAATATGGCTATATATTATACTGAAGAAGAGATTAAAAATATGAAATAATGGGTACAGTGCTCCATTTTCCTTGCAAAATCTGTGAATTTGTCTACTGTATGTGATGTATTGATTCACTGTCCTGATGAGATCTTAAATGTTAGTATTACATAAATGATACTATTGGCTGAAAGAGAGAAAATACTTCTCTTAATCTAAAATAGAGGATTTTCCTTTTTTTGCCTTTTTTAGGGGGGGAGGGGGAGGGTGGGTGTGGGGCTTTCCTGCACGACTACTTACAGGGGGTGGGGGTATCAGGCATTGCCCACAGTGGAGTAGAAAGTCCTCTAAACCAGACTAGATACAGTATGTTTTCTTAAGCATAGAATCATAGAATAGTTAGGGTTGGAAAGGACCTTAAGATCATCTAGTTCCAACCCCCCTGCTGTGGGCAGGGACACCTCACACTAAACCATCTCACCCAAGGCCTTGTCCAAGCTGGTCTTGAACACTGCCAGGGATGGACATTCACAACCTCCCTGGGCAACCTATTCCAGTGCCTCACCACCCTAACAGGAAAGAATTTCCTCCTTATATCCAGTCTAAACTTTCCCTGCTTAAGTTTTAACCCGTTACCCCTTGTCCTATCACTACAGTCTCTAATGAAGAGATGCTCCCCAGCATCCCCATAGGCCCCCTTCAGATACTGGAAGGCTGCTATGAGGTCTCCACGCAGCCTTCTCCTCTCCAGGCTGAACAGCCCCAACTGTCTCAGTCTGTCTTCATACGGGAGGTGCTCCAGTCCCCTTATCATCCTCGTGGCCCTTCTCTGGATTTGTTCCAACAGTTCCGTGTCCTTTTTATGTTGAGGACACCAGAACTGCACACAATACTCCAGGTGAGGTCTCACGAGAGCAGAGTAGAGGGGCAGGATCACCTCCTTCAACCTGCTGGTCACACTTCTTTTGACACAGCCCAGGATACGGTTGGCTTTCTGGGCTGCAAGTACACACTGAAGGCAGCTCGTATTCACTTTCTCATCAACCAACACTCCCAGGCCTTTCTCCGCAGGGCTGCTCTGAATCTCTTCTTTGCCCAACCTGTAGCTGTGCCTGGGATTGCTCCGACCCAGCTGTAGGACCTTACACTTGTCTTGGTTAAACTTCATGAGGTTGGCATCAGCCCGCCTCACAAGCGTGTCGAGGTCCCTCTGGATGGCATTCCTTCCCTGCAGCATATCAACCAAACCACACAGCTTGGTGTCATCGGCAAACTTGCTGAGGGTGCACTCAATCCCACTGTCCATGTCAGCAACGAAGATGTTAAACAAGACCGGTCCCAGCAACAATCCCTGAGGGACACCACTCGTTACTGGTCTCCAGCTGGACATTGAGCCATTGACCACAACTCTTTGGGTGTGGCCATCCAGTCAGTTCTTTATCCACCAAGTGGTCCACCTATCAAATTGATGTCTCTCCAATTTAGAGACAAGGATGTTGTGTGGGACAGTGTCGAACGCTTTACGCAAGTCCAGGTAGATGACATCAACTGCTCTGGATGGACCCCTGTCCATCAGTTCTGTAGCCCCATGTCCTGGGTTCAGCAGTAGCAGTCATTTTTCTCCTTCTTGGTAGCTGGTGCAGTGCAGTGTTTTGACTTTCAGCTTGGGAACAGAGCTGATAACAAGGATGTTTTGGCTTGGCGAAGGACTTTGTGAGCCTCATGCTCTGCTAGGGAGGAGGGGAAGCCGGGAGGAAGCAGAGACAGGACACCTGACCCAAACTGACCAAAGAGATATTCCATACCACAGCACGTCATGCTGGGGATGTGACTGGGAGATAGCCAGAAGGGCTGGTGGACTGCAGGGTTGGAGGAGGTATGGGTCAGTGCTGGGTCGGGCTTGGGGGGCGAGTTATCGGTTGGCTGGTGGTGAGGTGTTGTATTCTCTTCCCTTGTTATTTCCTTTATCATTGTTACTATTGGTAGTAGCAGTAGCTATTTGTGTTATACCTTAGTTACTAAACTGGTTTTATCTCAACCCGTGGGGGTTGCATTCTTTTCGGTTCTTCTCTCTGTCCCTCTGGGAGTAGGGGGAGGGAAAGAAGGGGGGCAGTGAGTGAAGAAGTTACCTGACTGGGTTTAAACCACGACACCCCATCATAGAAGGCCACTAAATTGCTCAGGCAGGATTTCCCCTTAGTGAAGCCATGCTGGCTGTCAACAAGCACCTTGTTGTTTTTCATGTGCCTTAGCATGCCATCCAGGAGAATCTGCCAGGCACAGAGGTGAGACTGACTGGTCTGTAATTCCCCGGGTCATCCATTTTCCCCTTCTTGAAAATGGGGGTTATATTTCCCTTTTTCCAGTCGTCGGGAACTTCACCTGACTGCCATGATTTCTCAAATATGATGGCCAGTGCCTTAGCAACTTCATTTGCCAGCTCCTTCAGGACCTGCGAATGGATTTCATCAGGACCCACGGACTTGTACACGTTCAGATTTTTAAGGTGGTCTCGAACCAGATCCTCTCCTACATTGGGCACAAGGTCTTCATTCTCACAGTCCCCGAGTCTGCCTTCCAAGACTTGGGTGGTGTGGTCAGAGCCTTTGCCAGTGAAGACTGAGGCAAAGAAGTCATTCAGAACCTCAGCCTTCTCCAAATCCTGTGTAGCTAGTTCTCCTGAGATCTTCCTGACGGGGTCTTCATTCTCCCTAGTCTGTTTTTTATTTGCTATGTACCTGTGGAATCCCTTCCTGTTATCCTTAATATCCCTAGCCAAGTTTAACTCTAACTGGGCCTTAGCTTTCCTAACCTGGTCCCTAGCTTTTCGGACAACATCCCTGTACTCTTCCCATGCCACCTGTCCTTGCTTCCACTTATTATAAGCCTCTTTTTTCATTTGAATTTTCCTCAGCAGCTCCTTATCCATCCAAGGAGGTCTCCTGGCCCTACTGCTGCACTTCCTTCTAGTTGGGATGCAACACTCCTGAGCTTGTAGTAGGTGATCCTTGAATATCAACCAACAGTCTTGGCCCTCCCTGCCCTCTAGGGCTATATCCCATGGAGCCTTCCTAAGCAGGTTCCTGAAGAGGCCAAATTCTGCTCTTTTGAAGTCCAGGGCAGTGAACTTGCTGCACACTCTTCTCACTGTCCTGAGGATCTCAAATTCGAGCATCTCATAATCGCTGCATCCAAGGCTGCCCTGGAGCGTCACATTTCCAACGAGCCCTTCCCTGTTGGTGAGCATGAGGTCAAGCATGGCACCTCTCCTTGTCAGCTCCTCTATTACTTGCAGAAGGAAGTTGTCTTCCACACAATCGAGGAACCTCTTGGATTGCTTGTGCTGGGCTGTACCATCCTTCCAACAGATGTCAGGGTGGTTGAAGTCCCCCATGAGAACAAGGGCCTGTGAGCATGAGGTTTTTCCTCTCTATAGAGTGCTTCATCCACAGGTTCTCCTTGATCAGGTGGTCTGTAACAGATCCCCACAGTAATGTCTCCCATCGCTGTTCTCCGTTTAAACCTGACCCACAAACTCTCTGACTGCTCACCTGTCCCCAGACAGAGTTCCATACTCTCCAGCCTATCCCTAACATAAAGGGCAATTCCCCCTCCCTGCCTGCCAGGCCTGTCTTTTCTAAAAAGCCTGTAACCTTCCATTCCAACACTCCAGTCATAGGAGCCATCCCACCATGTTTCTGCGACGCCTATTATATCATACCCCTGTAGGCGTGCACACATCTCTAGTTCCTCTTGTTTGTTTGCACCTTCTAAAACATTACAGTGTACTGTGACTGTAGAAGTAGGACTTTGCTTTTGGGTGAAGCTTAAAAGTACCATCTTTATGGGACCCTTTCTTTCCTATTGAAAACCTGCTGATGGCATTGTTTAAAAACTAAGCCCAAAAGATCAGGTAAGATCTCAGAGCTAGAAGAAGCCAGACTCACTTTTTGAGAAGATGCAGAATTAGGGTTTGCTGTATTTGATAGTTCTGTCTGTGGCATGACTTACAGTAGCCAGCTTTGTTATTGTCCTTAAAGTTTTCTTAGCCAAAAGGAAAAAGCATAGTAGGTAGACACAAATTAGTCATTTGCACCTATAAAAGCAATCAGTTTGAAAGTAGTGAAGATGAGGCTTTTTCTCTGCAATTAGAAAGCAGTTTCCCCCACTGTTATCAAGACGCTTTCTTAGCTGAAAGGAACCTGATGTGGTTACACGCCTTTTTGCTTATAGGCTACAGAAGAGCAGTGAGGAAGGAGAGTGGTAGATCTTGCTGTAATGACAGGTGCCTGGAAACTTAGTTGTAGTAACCTTTTTCAGTAGTTACATTCAGTCTGCAAAACAGCTAGAACTTGGGTGCTAAATAAAATAGGTATCTGTATTATAAGTGTCATAACCATGATATAGACAAAGCATTGGAACATGTCTCTGTTGCTGCAAGCTTCATTCTCTCATGCCATTTATTATTAGTATAAAAGGTGAACTTCTATAAATATGCTTATCAGTCTTTTACAGAATTTCTGCTTTAATACGATGGAGAGGGACTTACTGAGGAAACTTGAGGAAACTGTGCTAACATTTTTGTTGTGCTTGTTCTGACTAGCCTCCCATAGTGCCAAAAGTATCCAATGATGGGGATACTTCCAATTTTGAAGCTTACCCTGAAGATGACTGGAACAAGATACCTCCAGTACCCCCTAAAGATCTAGAAATTTTCAAGAACTTCTGAATGTGACATCTGCACTGATGAGGTATGTCCAAATATTGGGAGTCCTCTCAAAACATTGAAGTTCTGTGAGTGAGAGCTGTATGCAGAAATTACATCATCTGCTCCATAACACTGATTAATACTTCCTTACACATGTAAAAAACAACATGAATTACAGTAATACTGTTGAAATAAAATACTGGTAAACAGGTTTACAGAATGACAAAGGTAATTTATCTCACAGGCTTTGGTGTTCTGTGATGAGGAGTTATTTGTGTACAGATATTTAAGTCCCTCTGTCCTTAAAACTTTTAAAACGGTGTTAAAAGCAAATATCTAGATTGATTTGACAGATAAGGAAATGTAATTGGTTTTGATCACAGAATTTTCCTAATAAGAGTGAAGACTCTAGTTAGAGAAATAAGATTGTCAGATTAATTCTGTATGCTAAGTTCTGTCTTACAACTGTGCTAGGTTGATATTCGTCATTCAATTCACATGCTCCTCTTTGTATTTTGTGTTCCTTTTTCATTATATTTTGTCTTAGAAACTGGAAGGAAGTTGAAATGCTAACAGCAAGTCAGAAGAAAAATGGAGTTCATATGTAAATGAAGAATTTTTGTGGATAAGAATGATACTGCATTTAAATATGCAAATGAGTGTATAGTAAATATCTAAAGAGTTGGAGGCAGGCAAGAATAATTTTTTGCTGTAAACATTTGATATTAGTGAATTGTAATATTGATAGTCTATTCTGAAGTAGACTTGCTAAAATGGTGTATTTTAGGTGGTTTGGTTTGTTTTTTTTTTTAACTTATGGTTAAGTTTCCTGCTATTCCCAGATCCTTTTTGCATAGTTAATTCATAGACTTAATTTTATAAGTTTATACTAAACTTGTGTAATTAAAAGCACAAATTAGTATGTATGTATATAATGAATACAGTACAACTAAAGCACAGGAACTGTGCAAAGATGTAAATTTTTGTACTTTGCAGAGTCTATGATTTTTATTTTTCAAATAATGTTTTTCAAGAAGTTCTCTAGGAATAAAAATCTTAAAAGGATAAAAGAGGTTTTCATCATCCTATATACATTTTATAATTCTTTGTAAAAAATAAAAATAATTAAGTTTTAAAAAATATTTGTACCTAAAATTTCCAATGCCTCACAATTGCAACCATAGTACTTGAAAGCAGAAAGACAAGGGCATGTTTTATTGCTGTTTAAGATGCATCTTAATCATCTTAATGGCTGATTTATAAAGTTCTGTTGCAGCGATATCTCTACAAACCAAGATACTGAGTGTTTATGTATTGTCTGAAATGAGATTCCTCACATGAAGACTCTCTGTAAACATGCAATTCAGTGCATACTGATAAAAGGGCTCTAACTGGCTCTTACCGGAGTTGTTGTCTCTCAAGCTTGCTGTCTTCTCCAAATGTAAAGTATGAGCCATAAAAGACTTCTTCCATTATTGAAATAGATGTTTTTGAGTGCTTGGCAGTTCAGAATATCAGAGGGAAGACTGAAAATATATTAGAGCCTGATTCTTCTGCTCCTGCTTTTGGAAATGTCCTAAAATCTCTGCTGACAGGAATTCCATATGTGCAGAATTCAAACCTCAAATGTAAGGAGTCTCTTATTTTCATCTTGTACTAATGTCCTTCTAGCAGCTTGCGTACACTGTATTTAGGAAGTATTTTCAATACTGCATCATTTTAAGTAGCACCAAATATCAGTATGTGCATATATATGTACCTATGTATATGAATACACATAAATATGAAGGTAGATTGTGTAAAAGTCAGGATATTTTTTTAGGATTTTTTTTATGTTATATATTGTGATACTTGTGTTAATATAGGGGAACTGGTTTTGAAGCGCTTGGATTTCAAAAAGTAATGATATTCTCTCAGATGTTGTGGATTTTGCTAACTTTTAGTGAAATCATTATATTTATACCAAATTTTTTTTCCAAGGCATGTCAGCTCACTGAAGTTCCACTACGATAGCTCTACATAAAACTGTGTAAGTAGACCATACATTAAGCTTCTCCAACAAATTGCTCTCCACATTTATCTGAAATGCTACAAGAAACATAGGCTAAAAATCTTTTTTCTGAACTAAAGCCTGAATGCTTATGAAGTAGACATTCTATTAATCCCTAATTAAATTGCCATAATATTGTGACAGATCTGCATCTGGAGTCTCCTCGTGGAAGAGTGACTTCCATTTTCTTCTAGGTAACTCTAAAGAGTACAGAAATGCTGTTGAGATCTTGCAATTTCTAGGTTACTAGATCTATTTCTTCGTAAAGCAAATCTTACCTTGAAGAGATTGCAGAAATGCGCAACATGTGGCAAAATGAGGATACTTCAAAGTGGTAATTCTGGAATGTCACAAAGTCATCTCGATGTTATGCAAGTGCCACAGATTAATGACCCCACCTGCTGCTCAGTAAAATCAGTGTAGGAATGTATAATGAAATACAGGAAAATCCATAGAAAGTGATCATTTCAACCTGGTAAAAATACCTTGCTCTCCTGAAAAAAATTAATCCAGTCCACTGTTTTTGTATCTGTGGAGTGAGTTATTCCATATCCATCAGAAAAAAATGAAGCACAGAAAACATAACTGAATTTATTTAATGGGAGCAGCCACAGTTCAGCTCTTTTTTTTTTTTGTGTGTGTGTGAGCTTTAACTTTTATGGATTCTGAGTACTACAAAACCAGTTTCTTGTTTAAAAATGTACTTACTGCAACAAGCAAGTGGGCTAAATATTTTTTTTTCCAAGTTTAAAATCTACACTGTGTTTAAGTCTTCAAAGCCAAGGAAATTAAGTTGCATTTAACTTACGTGCTACATGAGTTAAGCTTTCAATGCTTGAACAACAGAGATAGTGGATTTTTTTTTTTCATGAATCTTATCCATTGCTGGCAGTGGATGCACTGACACTCATTATGACAGAGACTAAAGGAACCAGTACAATCTTATTAATAATGCTAATCCATTGACTTTACATTGTTTCCAGAGCCATGTTTACATATGCCTAACTACTGACCTCGTCAACATGCTTTCTAGTAAAAAACTGCTTTCACGTTTTTTATCCTTACTTAAAAGAAATAACCAACCCAAAACGTTCTTGAAGCATTAAGTGATCAGTTATTTTCTCAGCAGTCTTAAACTGCTGCTAAAGCAGCCCATTTTATTTATTTGCACAAGTGAGTTTATTTTAAGTTTTATTTTAAGTCTTTGCTGGGACATCGTGGCCCACTAATGTAGTTCTGTCTGAGCACTCACACCGAAATTCCCAGATGGACACTGCACTAAGGACTCAAGATTTATGGTTTGTTTTGGGTTTTGTTTTGGTTGTTTTTTTTTTTTTGTTTGTTTGTTTTTTTTTTTAACAGACTAGAACACTTCTTTGTTTTCTGTTCAAATATGGTATTCTCTGAAGTTCATTTATTATAGGTTTTGTTTTGGTTGTTTTTTTTTGTTTGTTTTTTTTTTTAACAGACTAGAACACTTCTTTGTTTTCTGTTCAAATATGGTATTCTCTGAAGTTCATTTTATTCTGGTTGCATCTGTTAATGTGTTTTTGCGTATAAACTGTTGCATAAGGACTGTTTTCTTGCAAGAGCCCCTAGGCCTTTGGTATTCTGCTTTGATGAACAAGAATGTTAAACATTAAAAAGCAACGTTTATTTTTGTGTTTTATATATATATATGTGTATATATATATATTTTTAATTACCCAATTGGAGGATTTAAGTGATAAACATGCATTATAAATTAAATTGCCTTGTAACCAAATGAATATAAATGCTTCATGATTTCAATGGAGAATATGCTGTAGATTTTTCTGTAAATTAGCTTGATCAATGAATACGTCCACTACTGAGCTTTAACTAATGTGATCTTCCACCGTAGAAAGTCATTGTTAAGGGATCAAATATAGGTACTAAGCTATGTTTAAATGGATGAACAGGGATTTTGCAGTTTTGAAAGCAATTAAGATCTGGCTGTTCCACAGCCCATCTGCTTGCTATTGAGAAGAGTTGTGATGCAGTGTTTTCTATGCTATAGAATTATTTTTCAGCTTTAAATGACTGTAGCATGATTCCTTTTTGTACTGTACTGTGTACAGACTTCCCATGTTTTGCACTTTTTTATCGCAAACCTTGACTGCTTTATAAATACTATGTTGCATAGTAAGTAGTGATAGTGGTAGCAGGCATCTGTGTACTGCATAATGAGTTTGAACTGCTAGACTTGCAAGGTTAACTTGGACTAGCGTTGTATGTTACTGATTGCTTGTAGCTCACATGTATAAGTACTGTTCAAAGTTACAAAGTCAGCCCTCATTGCACAATGAAAATCACTGTGATCTGTACATAAACCCTAGTAAGATTTTATTGCTGTTTAATTTATGTAATATCTGTCAAATTTGGATTCATTTAATAAACCTTTCTATCTTTTTAAATGCTTAAACTGAGTCTGTTTCCATTTGTGTTGGGAGGAGGTAGAGGTTATTCATCAAAAATATTGGTGAAGGGGAGAGGAGCAGTAAAACAACTGTGTTTGTTCTTTTCAGGCGTTAAGTCTTTCCAGAGCAAGACACAAGTGGTAGAACATATTTCAGTTGGCATGGAAGAAGCACCAAAAAGTGTATTTTCAAATTCATTTCAGTACACCAATAATGAAGAGTGTTAACTCAGACTTCTCATTAAACTTTTATTATATGACCCTAATTGCTTTGACATTTTCACAACTTAATGACCTGAACACTGTCTGGAACACTCAGTCTATTTCTTTAAGCATAAGAAAATATCCTTATGTTTCGAATAGGTAAGTTTTGGGGGGTTTTAGCACAGAACTTTGTGCTAGCTTCCTGCCTGGCTTAATTCTAGATTTTGTACATAGACGTTTTTCTCCTTTAAACCACTATGTCATGTGCTAATGGAAAGTGAGAGAACACTGCAATGAGCCCTGGCAAGCTTTTAGTCATGTCTTTGACATGAATCAAAAGAACTGCTCAGTTAAAACATACCAGATTTTTGAATGTTAGCAAGTGTCCAGGATGTTTGTAAAGAATTTGGTTTGGCATCTTGTTCTTACCTCAGCCTTTTGCCATGTGGTAGAGGTTTTGTTCACTTGTTCTAACGTGCGTACTCTTATCTTTTTTGACTGTACATATAACTCCAGATCTTATCCAGCAAAGGCGCATTTTAAATATGCTTTTTCACTCATGCCGGGCAGGTAAGTTGTGCTGCTGTATAACTGAATTGCACTCACATAGCTTTACTCGCTATTCCCAAATCTGTCTTACTTCCATGGTTCGTTAGTCCTAGCACTGTTTAAACAGCATTTGACAAGAACCCAGTTAACCCTGTTGTTAACCAGTAGCATTATACTATAAGAAGTGGTTGAAAGCAACTGGCACAGAGTTGCAACTCTGGATCTTGCCCAGTGCTCTGAACTTGTATCTAATTCACATACTGAGTATTTCCTTGTGCGAACTCCTGCTAGGCACTACAATCTCAGCTTCAGAGTTTACACAGCTTTTCACAGGAGGAAAATAAAAGGCTTTTTTACTGGCTTCAGTAGAAAAACCTAGCTTTTCTTTCTCTCTTCTGCTCCCTCCTTCCAGGTACTATTAAAAAAAAAAAAGCCATACGTGCATGTATGTCAAACTTCATATTTATCCTTGAAACCAGCTGAATTGTTAGAATTTCTTTAAATATATCCAGATATTTTTCTAGTCGTGTGTAGGAATATTCCAAACTGTGACAACAGAAAATTTCAGTAGTAAGTAGACCTATTATTATACCAGCTTGGATATATGTAACAATTATATCTGATTTGCTGCACTTGTTTAAGTGCCAGTAAGAGTGAGTTGTTGGGGCAGCTGACAGCCGAGCACCTTCTGCTGCATCTGTAGTTTTGGACACAGGCCACTGAAGTTTCTAAGGGAAATCTTAAAACTGATAATGTAACCTGTAGCACCTCAAATGCAGACCTATCTTACCTCTAGAATGTGAAACTCTAAGGCGCTGCGCAGGTGCTGTCTCCACTGCACCAATTTTTATTTAGTTTATCAGAGTAAGTCATAGATACCTTTAAAATTGTCATCCATTTCATCTTAAACAACTAGCCTATCAGGTTTTATTTATTCCTTTTTGTCTCCAGCATATTGTCCACATTCTGGACTGTGGTAATGAAGGCAAATGGAAGAGAGAAACCAAATAAGCTTGAATTGGACTTTAAGCCAATAAATAACTTGGTATGCCTGAACAGTACATACTTGTACATGTACTTGCTCTAAAGGTTGTAGAGAAAATGCTGCCTATTCTAGCTTTATGCTGGCTTCTAAGCTATAAACTGCTGCTCTTCCCAGTACTGCATAGAAAAGAGTTGTGCAAGACAGAGTTTATTTCAATTTTAGTAAATTAGTCTAGTTTAGAGAATCCTTGAGACTAAAAACCTTGTGGTTGGAAAAGGGGAAAAGTTCTTCATAGTCAGCATCCTCTTAATTTTCAGTTCTGCACAAATGTAAGCTGTGCAGAGTAGGGGGCTGTGCTTTAATGCTGCTATTGTTGTAAATCACTTGAAGGAAACAGCAGCTTGCTCTAGTATGCAGAATGCCAGGTGTCCTTCAGAGCATAAACATAAGTCTTCCCACCTTGAAGAACAAAGTCTTTTTCTTTCAGGAGCTTTGTGAGAGTTTAGCTGCACAGCTTAGCAAGTATTAAGACCTAGCCTTAGAAAAACTCTTGAGCTGTCCTGTGCCCGCTCTCTGTAAGTCCATATTTCTTCAGGAGTTAAGCATTAGACAGTTCAATCTTTGATTTAGGGTATGAAAATCTCAACTGTTTGGTCTTCTGAAGTTGGATGAACTAATGCCATAAATATGGAATGATTCAAATTGTGTGTGTGATACCTACCTGACCTGGTCTTAATTTTTCAGTTAAAAAGAAATTTTATGTTAATTTTGGACCCTTGTGTAATCAAGACGCTTGTAAAAATAATTAGTTGAAGCAGGGCTGGTACATGGCATTAATATATTAAAACTCTCACAAGTGGTATGTCTTGTTTCTATGGATTAACAATTTCCTTTGAGGCATGTTGACTAAATTACTCAACATTCTCCTCTTAGTTCTTGGTCAAGCTTCTGCCTATTCTGGCAACATATTTTGCAAAAAGTAAGCACAGCTGAGTAAACAGAAGTAGGTAAAATATTTCGTCTTTATGTTAACAAACATGACCTGGGAACATACTTTTAAATACATTATCAAACAGCGAAGTTTGTTCCAGATGAATGCATTTATGTTTGAGTGTATTCAGACTTAGGATCTTTCTTACTAGCCTCTCTCTTAGGCTAGGAGCATTCGTGTCATGATGCTTACTTCCTCCTGCCAGTCTGCCATTAACCACGTAGCAACGGGTGAGCCCATTAACTCAAGTGATCTATGAAAAATACTGCCCTGCTGTGAAATGAACTTTGGATCAAAAGCACTACTTCCACTTACTTGGTTTGAAAAGGGATTTTCAATAACTGAATGTAGTGGAAGGCCTTCTATTCTCCCTGGAGGTATTTGCCACCAGGGAGTAAGACTATTGCAATTTGTTCTAAAGTAACACAAAACTCGAACAGCATATTCCAAACCCATTTAAAAGTATTTACATAAGCTCCTGTGACTCATGTAACCCCCAACAAAATCTTGGTGATGCAAGAAAGAGAGTGTGGACATGGGTCATTTAAGCAAGTGTTGTTAGACTGAGTCTGTTCTTTAACTTCTTT